AGATGAAAAGGGCTGCTCCTCTTCTTTACCACCCAGCAAGGAAATGCATAGGTTGGGCAGATAGGCTGTGTAGCCACGCCCATCACTAGGTCCTGTTTTGGGGGGGGGGTAGGGCTTATATTGCACAAATGCTTAGAAATCAAGGGGGGAGGGGAGACAAGGGCAGTGTATGTAACCTTAATGTTTGTACCCCCATGATAAGCTGAAATAAAAAACAGAAAAGAAAAAAAGAAAAGAAAAGAAATCCTGCTAGGGCTTATTTTATGGGTAGGTCTTATTTTCAGGGAAGCACGATACATCTTTCTGTGATTAAGTACTGCTGGAAGGCCCTTCTTCCGTGATTCCACTAACACTGGTTCTTCTCCTCACGCCTACATGCCTAGGGTTGGTAACAGCTTCCTACTGAGTTCCTCAACATCCCTCAATGGTACCCTTTACCCAGAGCAGGCATAGGCTCTTCATTAAATTTCCTTCAAAGTCCCAGATGAGTTCCTTCTATTTCCTAAGGGGACACTAAGTCTAGTCTACATTTTCTTTGTTCATCTCATTCTGTTGTTCTATCAATTCTTGCTTCAGCATTTTTGTTTTAATATTCTTATTAACTTGTCCTAGCAATTATGACACATTTCCTTTTCTTCCATGAGTTATATTTTCTTATAGGTTGGGATCTTGGTCTTATTTCTGCATGCTGTGTTCATTTTCTAAGTGTGTTTACTTCTTCTAACTGTATTTCCTTCTGTATTATATTTGCTTTGTCATTGTGTCATTTCTTTCCATCTGGCTCCTGCATGAGCTACTCTGTGCAGATGTTCTGTTTGCTCTGATATTTTGGGGCTGATTTATTGACTCTTCTCTCACTGTACCTGAATTCAGTTAACCTTCTCTTTAAGGCATAGATGTTTGGTTGTCTTTCCGTTTTTCAAAACAAGAGAGAATAGCTGAGAAACACACATATACACACGTGTGTGTGCACACCCCCCCACCCACACAAATACACACACGGTGGAAAGTGTCATTGAATTTCTGCCTAGTTTTCATTTAAACATCTGAAGCTTCTCCCTCTTTCTCTGATATTTTGTTACTTGCTCTGACTACAGCACATATTCTAAGCCTTTGAAGAGATATTCTTGGGCTCTGAAAGTTCTCTCCAAGTCACTGCTGTGGAGGCGCTTGTGAATGAATCAACCAAGTATTTTGACAAGAAATTCTGCAACTATTCTTACAGTTGTCTGGGGGATTAGTTTCCTTTTGCTGCTGTAACAAATTACTACAAATTTAGTGGCTTAAAACAACATAAATTTATTATCTTACAGTTCTAGAAATCAGAAGTCTAAAACTACAGAGCTGCATTTCTTCTGGAAGCTCTGGGTGTGTGTGCTATGTTGAGTAGTGTCCCCCCCCCCACCAAAATTCATGTCTATCCAGAACCTCAAAATGTGGCTTTATTTGGAAATATTAATAGGTTCTTTGCAAGTGTAACTAATTAAATTAAGATGAAGTCATATTGGGTTGAGGTGGCTTCTAAATCCAATGACTGATCCCCCTAGAAGACAAGAACTACACAGACAAGACAACCATGTGAAGATGAAGGCAGAAATTGTGTGGATGCAGCTGCAAGCCAAGGAATGCCAAGGATTGTAAGCAAACACCAGAAGCTAGGAAGGATTCTTCTTTAGGTTCTTTGGAGGGAGCATGGCCCTGATGAGAGCCTTGATTTTCTACTTCTAGTCTCTCAAGTTGGGAGAGAATACATTTCTGTTAAACCATCCACCCTGTGGTACTTGGTTATGGGAGCCTTAGGAAATACAGAGAGAATCCATTTCCTTGCCTTTTTCAACTTTGTTGGCTTGTTGGCTACACATCAATCCAATCTCCGTTTCCATTGTCACATCTTCTCTCTGACTCTGACCCACGTGAGATCCGCTTATAAGGACCTTCATGCTTACACTGGGCTCACCTGCATAATCCAGATGTCCCTATCTCAAGATTCTTAACTTACTCACATCTTTAAAGTCTTTTTTGGCATATAAGGTAACATAATGACAGGTTTCTGATATTAGGACATGAACATTTTTGGGGTTCGGTTGGGAAGGAATTATTCTGCCTACCAAAGCTGGGTTGGCTCCTTGAACCTTGAGATATGCCAATGGTTTATAATAAACTACATTTACAACAACAAAAGAAACTCCCCAACATTATAATAAGGAAAGTGTCAGACAGCTCAGAGGTGAGGGAGTTTAGACTTACTATGTAAGACCTGAGAACCCCACATCTGACTACATGTCCTGAGAGGGGTCAAAGGACACTTTCTTCATCAAGGAAGGAGTTTTGGTGGTGAAGGGAATGGGAGAGAAATAAAATCCCTGGGAAGCCCAGTGGTAGCCAGTTCTAAACAAGATCAACAGCTGAAGATGCTGTCATGGACCTGAGTTTACTAACATTAATGGGAATGATGGGAGTCCTAAAGTAGTGACCAGGTGGCAACACTTAACCTCCAGAAGGAAGGTGAACTTAATTACTTAATTAGTTCAACTGCAGGGCTGGTAATCATAGTGCTTTGACCCACAGTAATCCTTGGTTTTGCCTTAGAGATCATGGTGGTTTTATGGTCAAGAAAGATGCACTGCTTATAATTGACAATAATATATAGACACTAGAGGTACTGCTTACCATTTATAATAATAAATAATTGAGATCTGGCAAGCAGAAGGCTATGCCAGCCACCTCAATGGAAACCTGAGGTCCCCATCGAGTTTCCTAACTTAGAGAGTTACAGATACATGGTCTAATTGATTCAAGGGCAAGCCAGACTCCTTTGAGAAAGGACCCTGAAAAGTCAACACAAATATATAAATTGACATTTCTCCAATCCTTGTTCAGGAGTTCAAAGGCCACTGAGTCAAGGAAATGTTCACCAGGGAAAGGGAAATACCTGGGTCTTTTGGATGTTGTTGCATACAGACTCTGAGTGGACACTGATATTACTTGGAGTCATTATGTTACTATAGTCAAAATATCACTGTAGCTCCCTCCTGTTAGGGTGAGTGTATAAGGAGGAGAGATTTCAAGTGTGCCCCTGGCTCAGGTCCACCTCACTACAGGTTCATTGGGTCTATAGGACCACACTATAGTCTTTTTCCTGGTCCCTGAGGTCCTCACAGTGATGGACAGTCTTAGTAATTGAGAGACTCATTATTTTCTTGACCCATGGAGAGTCATTATGGTAGAAAGGGCCAAATCTGAGAGTGTTACCTTCTCATGTAGAAAGCAAGTAAATCCAGGCACTCATGCTTGTTTATCTCAGCCTTTACAAGTCTCTCTATTCTCTGCATGTATCATAAGAGTTTGCTGATTAATAATTATTCTGATGGACATGGCTTAGACAAATACTGAAGATATATTTATTCAACAGCAATTCTAACTTCTGCACTTCTGTAGAGTCTTCTCAGCAAGGAGATGCCATGTAATCCAGCTCTGTCCAGCGAGACATATAATAGGTAGAAGTCCCTGAGCTGAAAACGACATATGCCCTTCTTCCTGTCTGAAATACCAAGGTGATGCTAGAGATACAGCAGCCACTATGAACTCATGAAAACAAAAGCCACATATTAAAGAAGGTATAACAGCTATGGTAAAGGAACCTGGTTCCTTGACGGCATCTTTCAGCATTCTACCTATGCCTGGGCTTTGCATAATGTAAGAAAATAAACCCTTGTTTTGCATAAATCACTATGGTAGGATTAAGTATTATTCACAACTGAACATAATCCTAACAGAAACAGTGGGATCATCTGTACTTGCTCAAAATTCATCTTTTTCAACTCTCAAGGGGCTCTCCCTTGTCTACTAAGTAAAGCTTAGTAAGGCCATATTTTGTTGTACAAGCATAACCATGTCCAACATAGTAAGCATTCTTCAACTTCATTTTTTTCTCTTTCTTTAATTATCTGGAGTAAAATTGAATGCTCATATATTTAAGGAGAATGTAAGACTAAAACTAAGCACTTGCTTTGTTTCTCACAGAGTATATGATAAATTCATCAGCAGAGAGTTGGGGGAAAAGTTTTATCTACTAATTGCCTAATTTTGAATATGTCTTAAAACCACCTGAATCTCAGTTTCCTGTTCTGTAAGCTAGGGAGAAAACATTGATGTCCACCTTGCCAGATTAGTAGGAGGACTATATCAAAACAAGAAAAATGTATAGTAGGAAAGGGCCATGAATCCGCAAGTTTCCTGACAAACAGCCACAGTGGCCTCACTTCTCAGGGGTCTACTCCCCTCAAGGTCAGGGAGCATGTCTCATTCCTCTCTAGAGACACACTGCGGAGCACAGAATCCAGCCCAGAGCAGGAGTTGTAGGGCTCGAGGAATGAATAAATTCATGAGTAAAAGCATGACTGAATAAATGAGCTGTGGTGGGAAGAAAGACAGAAAAATAGAGATGACGTGCTACCCAATGAAGCCTATTCCATGCTGGCTCCATGGCTTCCTACAAGGAAAAGGGTTTTCACATCCCTAAAAGCCCGGGGGCTTGCCCTGCTCAGAATCACCTTTCATTGAAAATGGCGCTAAAGGAGATACACCGCAAAGCAAGAGCATTATATCTGGCATAAAAAGGACTCTCACTAAGCATGACTCAGGCCTCACCATCACTCTCACACGACCTGCGGGAAATGACCTATTTTAGAGCAGACCACGGAGAGAAGGGAAGGTAGGGGAACCCGGGCAGGCTGGGCTGGAGGAGGAAGCGAGCCTGCGGCTGCTTGCGCGACGCCCTCAGGCCTTTGCAGATTTATGAAGAGTAACTGAACCTCTCGGCTTACTCTCAGATTAGAGAGGCCAAGCACCAGAGGTCCGCAGGAAGCGGAAGTCCCACTCAGTCTCTAACCGGATGTGAGCGCGGGCATACGTGCGTGCCTGCGTATATGTGCTACCTGCGTGCGTGCTGCGTGCGTGCTGCATGGGTATCTGACCAATCAGATGGGAGGGAGCACCGTCAGCGCCTCACCCCAAAGGGCGGGACCTGGGCGATAAGCCTCGTCACCGCCGTGCTTTACTGAGCACCTACTCTGTGACCCATGTCCTGCGTTATCTCGCTAACCTTCCCTGTAACCAACAAGGAACGTTTGAACATCTTCCTTTCCTGGCAAACGAGTGGACGTCCCGAGGGTCCCAGCTTCCGGGAGGCTGCTGGGATGCAGACCTGGGAGGAGCGTCGGGGGTGCAGGCGGACAGGCAGCGTTCTCTGGGAAGTGGAGGGACTCACGTTCTTTGAGGGCTAGTTGCGTGTGGTCACGTGGTCAGCGTTTCTCATCCGTGGTCTCATCTTTATCGCTGCCCCCGCGGATCAGGTTTATTGGTCCCACTTCAGGAGCAAGAAACTGGAACCCGGAGATATCAGGTATATTGTTCAAAGTCAAAAAGATGGTGAAGGACAGAACTGGATTTGAGCCCAGGCTCATTTCGAAGTTGTGTTCTCACCCATTAGAGAAGGGTTCTGGGTGTGGGTTCAGATTGGGGGCCCCCATCTTCCTTGAGGAAGGAGAGGCAGTCTGTTCAGTATCAGAATTACTTTTCTCTTAGGGGAGCTAGGAAACTAGGAGAGAAAGAAACTAGAATAAAATCAAACCCTCATTCCCTAGATGGATGCAGTGGAGAACCATTACTCCAGGGCAATGTCTGGAGCCAACAGTCTGTTCTGGTTTTACACTGAAGAGACTGTGTACCAAGCCGGAAGTATGCCCTGTTTCAGACAGGATGAACTCTACCTGCCTCAAGGCGTGGAGGAGCAGATGGAGTCTGCATTTGGGAACAAGATTCTTATTCTACCGAGAATTTAAAGAGGTGACTCAGAAGCAAACTGATGGGGAAGGCAAAGTCAGAGCAGACGAGGAGGCAAGTCAGCCCTGCCTCAGTGGCTGGGATGCTGTATGACCTCAAATTCCTCCCTCTCTGGACCTCAACACCTTTTAATTTACCTACCCATCTCTGAATTGCTTTAGCTCTGACAATCTAGGACTGTCAGGAATAAAGCTAGCATCTGGTCATGGGGCACAAATCAGTGTAAAGGGAAATTCAGTTATTAGCAACAATGAGGAAGAACCTATAATGCTCACAGATGCTCCAGCTGGTGTAATATGGGTCTCAACTTTGAGCAGCTCTTGGATTTTATAGAGATCATAATCTGATGATTTGTGAACAAAATCCCCCTTGCAGACCAGTTCTGATTAGCTAGCAGAGTGAATGACAAAAGAAAGGGAATTAGAGCGCCTTTAGATAGGGTGTGCCCTCCCTGGTGTGTCATAGGCCGGCTCCCTCCTTTGTCTTGGCTCCTGATGACAGCACATTTGAGTTTGTGCCTCCAAATTAGAATCTTAATTTGTCTTGCAGAACACTAGTTCAGCCTCCATTTCCTCCCATCCCTCCCTGGCCACCGCAGGCCAAGAGGGAAGCTGTAATTTGGGGGCTGCCCTTTCTTTGCAGCATGAGCAACACAAATGCCTTAATCCTCCTTTGCCCTGCAGAGCTGTGCCCGGCAGCTAGGCCCCCAGAGGACCTTAAGGCCAGCGTGAGCGGGATTCTCTCCCATGCATTATTCACACCAGTGCTTCCCTTTCTATTTTTAATGTTCAGCGTGTAGCAGTTCCCTCCGCCAGCTATTTTTAGCATCATTGCTGCCAGCTGACAGCAGAGACAAAGGCGCTGAGGCACCTTGAGAATGACAAATGGCTATTTCAATGATGAAAATAGAAAGGCTATTTTTCATCCAGAAAAGAAAGGGAAGAAAATGTCTATAGTTGCAAAGTTGTCGGGGCTTGGATTGAATTTCTAATTTGGAACGCATAGGCTGCCATGCACATAAAGGATTTCCTTACACATTCTCACATGCTCATCATTTTTGCAGATCAAATGCACCCTCCGTTATGCAGCTTTATCTGATGCTCCCCTCTGCTCCTGATGAGCCCTCCTCTCTCTAGATGTAACATCGCCATTACTGTGGTTCTCACATGGTCTTGTAAATGTTTGCTTCCCTCCAGGCTGTGAGCTCCTGAAGGCAAGGACTTATTGTTAGATCTCCATTGTTTAGTACTAAGAATAAGTGGCCCCGGCCATCCAGAAGCTGGCTGGGCACTCACAGTTGGCCCATATCATTCTCCTGTTGAACATAAACAATCTCACTGAAGACCAATATCATAGAGGGTTACTCTAAGACCATGAGAAAGTGAGACAAAACAAGACCACGTCATAATTTTGTCTGAGCACAGACAAAAATAAGGTGGTTGTGCCACCCACAAACTATCAGATGTCTCTCTTGGCTAGAATGAGTGACTGCTAATTCTTAATCACAGCTTTCTTCTCTCTCTAGTCTTCCCTCCCTCTAAACAATATTTATGGAGATACTCAACTTGCCTCCACTTTCTGACAACACCCAACCCAGAGCAAATCCCTGCTTCTTTAGAACTGCCCCCAAGTCTCTGAAGAAAGTCTGAATCCCATACTAATATTTTTGTGGCACCCCCCCTTACTGAGATACTGTATAATTCCCTATGGTATGCATTTTCCTTTGTTGCAATGAGTAATAAACTTAATGTGTTCAGCTATAAGAGTGTTCCTGGTGACCTTTGCCTAAAAGGTGTTGACAGCACAAAGTCTCACATAAGTATAAGGTCAATGTGTGTTTGATGAATAATATGAATAGCCAGGACCAGGACTAGGGTGACACCAGCAAAGTACCCAGGCACAGAGGACCCAGGCTCCTCACGTGATGCACTGCAATCCCAGCCCTGGGAGTAGCTGTCTTACTGAGCAATTGCTTTATGGCATACGTGTATTGAATATCTAGTTCCAACTCACAAGAGTTCCATAAGGTAGATACTATTATTTCCATCTGTTTGGGGATCAGGAAACAGAGACTTCAAGAGGTTAAATAAATAACGCTAATCACCTATATCTTAAGGGGTAGAGGAAGGGCTGCACCAGGTCTTGCTGTGTTCCTGCCCAGTGTAATAAATTGCATGTGTGTATGTGTGTATATGAAAAATGAGTGGATAAATTTAAACGCAAACATAGACTTTAAAGTCCTAATAGGAATTTTAATTTGAGGACTCTATCTGTAAGTAAGAAGGTAAGGTGCTGAGCAGAGTGTCTGACATGCAAAATTTATATGATGAAGGCATTGCTGGTGGTGCCTGTATTGAATAGTTCAAGCTAATCATGTAATTATATCCTCCCTGCCAGTGACTGGCTCAGAAACAAATATTTAACCTAATTCCAGGAACTGAGACCTGAGAAGGAAGCTTTCTGTGGGACTTTTGAGAAATGGTTTCCTTTCCCCTCAAAGTGAACCCCTGGAAGAGCCTCCTCTCTGTGTTGCCTTGGAGAGTGCTTGGAGCATTGTTGCAGCCATGGCGCACCAGCCTCAGGATGAGAACAGCCCTGACCATGGCTGAACCAACTTCTAGTTACGTGAGACAAGTGTTTCCTTATTGATGAGACTGGTTCATCTTGGAGTTTCTGCTACTTGCATGAAATTTACTCTTTTCATGTCCTTGCTGATACATGCCCTGGTTGCTTTGAGGCTTCTCTGACTGTCCTCGCCAAAGCAGCACCTATCTTGTCACCTCTGGCCCCTTACTCTGTGTAATATTCCTACATGGCACTAACCATGACCTGATATTGTATTACTCATTTAATTATTCATCACCTCATTGCATTTCATCACTAGAATGTTAGCTCCATCAGGTGAGGTGAAGTCACACATGGAGTCATGAGTTAAATTCTCAACACCATGTTTTGACCAACGGGGATGTATTTAGAACAGAGAAATCTGGAGAATGAGAGATCTGAAAACTTTCAGGGAGCTAGAAAAAATGGCGACCCTGGGGACCAGAAAAAGAGTGGGAGGAAGACAGTGGAATTTCTAGGATAATATATTCCCTTGACCTTCCACTCATAGATAAGGGAGCCATGTGCTAGCCTCCCCTCTGTGTGTGTGGTTTTAAATTAATGGGACCATAGTAGTGAAAACACAAATAAGAACCTCTTGAGATTGCAAGGAGGTGGACCTCAATAATAGAATTCTTTTGGTGTTTTTTTATATCAGTGCTTTTCCCAGCTGCATTGAGATAACAGCTCAAAGATTTACTTGCACCTACCTTTAGCCACCTTTTGCCACTGGGTTAATAAATTCTTCATCATAATCATCTCATATCAGCCCACAATTCCTAGGGCCCGGTCAGCTTTGGGGTTGCTATCTCTCTGCTTCTAAAGGGTTACCACAGCCTCCTGGCTTCTGTTCTTCTGTTCCCCTGATGTCAATAGTCTGGTACTTCCAAAGATGGATCCACAGCAAAACCCTCTTATTTTCAACCCCTAGGACTTTTATCCTCGTATTTCCCTAACACAGTCCCCTTCTGTGCCCTCTTCAGCCTGTCTCTAAATGGGGTGAAGAGCATGAGAACCACCTTAAGAGAGAGAGAAAGGAGGATTATTGTTGTCATCAGTGGGCTCATAGGGTAAAACCCAGCTATTTCGGAGAGACATATTTCAGCTCGATATCAGGAGGAAACATCAATATTAGGGAGAACAACTCAAAATATAGTGGCTTGTTGTATGAACTAGTGAGCTGCCCAACACAGGGAATATACAAGCAGAAATGAGAAATGCCTGGCAGAAATGTTTTAGAACACCAACATGGGGTGTGTGAGTCTGGAGGTGGGGTGTCAGCAGAAAGGATGGGTTGTTAAACTAATTGCCTCAGTCTTTGAATCCATAGGCTTCATCCTGCTCCATCTTTCTGGCAAATACATGTTGCTAAATATATATAGATGCTGTTGTGACTGACTCATAAGATAAAATTTTATTTAAAAAGGTTACTGAATTTGTAGGAGTATATTCTTTCAATCAATGGATACTAAAAATGAAACTTACATTATGCAGGAATTTGTGAAATTTTCTGACCCTAAACTTGACTTCTCGTTGTTGAAAAAGTCAAAATTGTAGCTTTAGTAGATTCGCACAATTCACACACAATTCACGCATCCTTTCCTGCTATGATCTGAATGTTTGTGTCCCCCGGAAATTCATGTGTTGAAATCTCACCTCCAAGGTGATGGTATTAAGAGATGGGAACTTTGGGAGGTGCTTAGGCCATGGAGGTGGAGCCCTCATGAATAGCATTAGTGAGTGTTTTTATAAAAGAGACCCCAGAGAGATGCCTTGCCCTTCTATCATGTGAGGACAGAGCTAGAAGGTACCATCTATGAACCAAGAAGCAGGCCCTCAGCAGACACCAAATCTGCCAGTACCTGAATTGTGGACTTTTCAGCCTCCAGAACTGTGAGAATAAATGTCTGTTGTTTATAAGCCACCCAGATTATGGTTTTTTTTTGTTATAGCAGCTCAGACAAAAATACTTCTGGACCAGTTCTTAGATTCTAAGCCTTCACCTTTAATATAACAGTATTTCACAAAAGAAAGAAGAGAAATAAACAAGCTATTAGCAACAATAAATTTGTGTGTGTGATTTAGTTTGTCACTAAGAGATAGATTATTTTTTAAAAAATATGTAAGGGTCATGCCCATTAGAAAAGGGGAAATTGTATTTAGTAATTCAATTGTCCACATATCTGTCATTGACATTAATTTAAGACTTTTTTTCTTAAAAATCCATTTGTACAGGCCACTAAAGTGCCATTTACTTGGCCCTGAACTTTAGACATCAACTAAAGTGAAGCATCCATCATGTCTAAAGAGTCTGCAGGAACAGAAAAAATTCCTAATGGAAATAGGTACTCAACCATTGTTCAACTCCACTAAGGAGCTGTATGAAACAGAGGGAACAGTTCAAACCTACAGCAGAAGTTATTCAAATCAGCACAAAGTAAGACTTTTTTGAAAGCAAGTATTGTCAAATTCCACAGTTCTTGCTGGATGGGCTGAAGGCTTTTCTGAAAGATGGGTATTAAGTCTCATTTTTGTGTAAGTTGTGTAGAGAATATGTTTGCTTTTTTACCCAGGAGGTCAAATGGCATCTAGAGAATGAAGAATAAGTTTAATGATACCGAATTTTTAATAGTGTTTTTAAGGGAGAAATTATGTAACTTTCATCTTGAAGTAGTGGAAGGATCCTTGGATTGCAAGATGGGTACCCTGCGTTCTGGTTCAATTCGTCTACATCAGAGTTTTAGTTCTGGCCTCAATTCACCATGAGAGTGTTTTGACCATATTATCTAGGGTGGGATGTGGTGAGGCTAGATGCAGATCAAAAGAGGGAAACTGAGAAGAGTTTTACAGTTGTGTTATACTCACAGCTCCCTGGGGAGCACATGGCTTGCCACACAGAGCCACTCCTGAAAGAACCAGGGTTGCTCATGAGTCCGCAGGAGACAGGGGGACTGTGGGCAGACTCCTTATTGCGATTTTTGCAGGCAAAAAAGGGGTTAGGCAGGATAAGCTTGGAATTGGGTAGTTACTTGGACTTTGACCGCCTCTGGGCCTCCATGTCCTCATCTTTAACATGGGAAGGACTAAAAATCTTTAAATTTTCTTCAACTCTGAAGTTATTCAGTTTAATGAAAGTGCTTTCTGAAGTTATTTGCAACATCTCCAAGAAACTCATTGCTTTTCCAGCTGGAATATGCTGGGATTCTAATGTAATGTTAACAATAATTTTTAAGATAATGTCAGCATTGTTTTGGATGAAAAACGTACCATAGAATACATAGTCAATGCAAATTTAATTTTTAATACAGTGTTTGAAGCCCCAGTAGACTAATCATCCACCTCAGCATTGTTCTCACATAAAGTACAGATTGCAGTTCCAAAAGCTGTGCCCTGGATTTGCTTTTACTTTTCTAACTTTGTGTCCAAGGAAGCTTTCTCCCCTGTAAAGTATTTTGTAGTCTTCTTAAGGATAATGAATCTCATTGTCTATTCATTCAATTATTCAACGATTCAACAGACATATATTGACTCAAAATTTCCATTAACCAGGTATTGTATAAGCAGCAAAGATACAAAAATAAATAAGGCATTGCCCACCTCCTCAGTGATTTCAATGTCCAGGACAGGAAGCTATTTATTTCAGTAGACATTTTAGGGAACAGGAGAGAGAAGCAGTGGAACTCACAAAAAGGTCACTATTGTCAATCTGGCCTAAAAGAATGACCACACAAATTTCCCTGTAAATAGGATGTGGGAAAAATGCCTTGGCCTTCTCTAAAAAAAAGCCCTATAGGCCAATTCTATTTAGATATATTTTACAAGGGTGATACATTCTCTGAACTCTCTCTCATTTCCTCCAACCACCAGTACTTTACCAAACACAGATTTCATCAGCAGAGTCATGTTATGTGAACAACAACTTCATTAAATTAAAATTTCAGACTTGAATCATCCTCCTAGTCTTCATCACACTTGTCTTTTCTTTTAAAAGTTCTTTACATATTTTTTAAAATTACAAAGTATGTAGTGTGTGTGTGTGTGTGTGTATTGTTTCATTGTAACAAATGAAACAATAGATTATGAAGCATTATCAAGGCAAAGATAATTATCTTCTTTGTCTCCCATCGCTATCTTATCTCCCTTAGGTAACCAATATTATTAGCACATCTTTCTCATAATTCACACAAATATATAAAAGCATATACAGAGAGGGTTTCTCTTTATTTTTTAACAAATTAGAATCATATCATAACCATTACTCTGCAGCTTCCCTTTTTTCACTTTAAAATATATCATGAAAATCTCTACAAGTCTATGGAAGACACCTATTTGCTTATTTTCTTCATGCATATGCACATATAAAACATACAGACACACACATTAAATTAATTAAAATTATATATATTTGGCTGCATGTGATAGACAAGACAGATACCTTGTGATGCAAAATTGAGGTTTATTCTCTCTCATTTAAATGAGGTCTGGAGGTGGGTCACTCAGTGGTGGGCTGTCTGGACATGGTATGGCAAATCTGTAATTACTAGGGAGTCAGGTTTCTTTTATCTTGCTGTCTCATCATTCTTCTTTGCTGCCTCATGGTCCAGAATGTCTACCTAAGCTCTAGCCATTATGTCTTGTCTTCTACCAGAAAACTGAAGGGTAAAAATGAGCACATTCCTTTCTTTAAAGATATTTGTTTGAAGTTACATGTAACACTTCTGCTTACATTGCATAGACCAAAATTCAGTCACTTAATGCAACGAAGTCTGGGAAATGTTGTCTTTTTTCCACGAAGTCATGTGCCAGCTGAAAAGTCATTTGTTTCATTACTAAGGAAAATGTAAGAATGGAAACTGGGAGCCACTCCTGAATGCATGTGTGTGTATGTGTGTTTGTGATCTTATATAAGTGAGATGATATGAGAGAGAACATGAATAAGAATATCTTGAGATTTCATGAAGAGATTCTGTGTAATAGATTTCTTTCTTTGAGTCTAGTGATTTTTATATCAGTGTTTTCCCACTTCATTGAGTTATTAATTAAATGACTTACTTATACACACCTTTACCCACTTTTGACCACTGGGTTAATAAATTCTTCATCATAAACATCTCATATAAGCCTGCAATTCCTGGGTCTCTGTCAGCTTTGGGATTTCTATCTCTGCTAGATGGTCATAAGCATTGGCCTATGAGTTAGGACATTTGAGTTCTCAGCTCAGCCTTGCTACTGGCAAGCTCTGGGTTTTTGGACAAACCACCACCCTGCTGGGACCCAGCTTCCTCCTTTATACTATGAGAAACTCTCATACATCTTCCAGAGAAAGTTTAAAAAGCATGTTCTTTGGAGTCAGGTCCTCATGGGTTCAAATCTTGCCTCTACCATTTGACTGGTACCTGCCCCAAGCAAGGGGCTTAACTGAAGTTTCCTCATTTATATGACTAGAATGGTATTAATAGTAGCTACCTTGCACAATAATTTTAAGAATTAAAAGCTATATCATGTTACCTATTTAGCATAATGCCTAACATATAGTTGATGCTCAATAAATGTGAATTCCCATTCCCTTGAAGGGCTTCCAAGATTATTTGATCTTTCTATACAACTCTTAAGTCAATCTAAATTCTGATTCTCTGTCTGGACTCTTAATGACAATAATAGCAACAACAATAAGAATAAGAGTTAGTGTTTGTTAAGCAGTGTGTTTGGTAGTACTGATCAAAAGAGTTGATTTATTTTAGAATTAGACAACATATTAAATTTAGTCTATAGAATTGAAATATACTAAGTCAGTGTATTCCAGGGACAGGAAAAGTTTGCTAAGCTATTGTGGAGGAAGATAAAGGATAAGAGATCCTTTTGTGACCACAAGAGTGAAGGCACATAGTTGATGCTCAATATATGTTAGTTCTCATTTCCAGGAATAGACTTGGAGTTGGTCCATGTGAAGTGGAGGGTCCTGCTGAGACTGAACCTTCATGTTGTCTGTTGACAGCCCCCCTCCCGATAATATGATAGTGAGAAAAGCTACATGTGAAGGTGACACATGGAAATCAGAGGCTTGGTGGAGTCTAGAGGAGGCATTTGTGATGGTCTTGTGTAGTGGACTAAAAAGGAGACAACATGGGGAATAAACTCAGGTTGTCTCTAAGTGTGAATTTGGCTGCGTTTGCATGCTGGAAAATTCCAGTGTCCTGCAACTCTGGAGAATCTACCATAAACTTAGGCCAGACTCAATGTAAATAAACGCCCTGCTTGTGGGACAGTATTACTTCCTCTGCCTATCCGATGCTACATGCATGGCAAGAAGCGCTGGAGTACGTGGGTGGGGGAGCAGGGACATTGACTGAGCACAGGAACCATCTCGCTGGTCCCCACTGTAACCCTGTGAAGTGGACGCTCTCATTTTAGAGACGTGGAAAATGAGACCCAAAGAAGTAAAGAGGCCACAAGAAAAAATTATGAACTGGGCAGAAACAACCAATTAAAATGATATTAAGATTAAAGACAGCATCAGTTCAACCAGTAGAAGAATATGTTGGATGAATGGGTGGAGCAAAGAAGATCAGAAGTCACTGGGGAGGATGTTTGGCATGGGGGATTCAGGTTTGGTTTCGTTTACGCTTGATTTTTCTTTTCCTCCGTGACTGTTCTGTGTGTTTCCTTCCCCTTGGGTTTTCATATTTGCTACTTTGACAGCTTTGTAGCCCAGATGCATACACTTAGTCCCCTGAGCTTCCCACACTGCCCCTGTGCCTGGAGCTTCCCTTCTCCATGTCATGGTGGCAAGGATTTCCACCTGGATGTCCCACGGGTATAACGTGCTCACACCAAACTCACCCGTCTTCTCCTCCTTGCTTACAGCCTCACCATCTGCCCAATCTCCCAAGCTGTGACCGTGCAGCCATCCTTGGCTCCTACTCACCCTGTCTCCTTTGCCTCCACATCCAGCCATCTGATTCTGTGGGTTCCATGGACACTTCTGTGCCCTACTTCTCCTCTCTATTCCTCTGGCACTATACTTGCTCAGGTTCATCTCCCATCAGCTGGACCTCTGCAACGGTTTTCCTTGCTCCCCCTGGATCCAGGGAGAGGCTGTTTAGTGACCAGTCTTTTCATTTTGGCAAATGCATTTTCCACCTAACAAAGTCAACTTAGACTGGTTTTCCCAGAAGCGGATACTAACACAAAGATTTACATGCAGATGATTTTAAAAGATGTGTTCCTAGGAGAACCTGGTAAGGGACCAGGGGAGGCCCTGCTTGGAAGGAAGCCAAACAGAAAGGAATACAATTTCAGGCCAAGTCTCCACCCTAATCCTGCAGAAAATTCTGGAGTAAAAGGGATGCCCTAGAGAATTTGTCCCAACTCAATTAAGGAAGCTAGGATTTCATATTCCTGCATCAATCTGTCCTTGGCTAAGGACCACCCAGGGAGATTAAATTCCCAGCTACTTCCTGCCCGCAGCACATGCGTCACCAGTAGCCTAAAGGCAGAGAGATGCAGGTGCTGACTGATGGAAGCAAAAGTACCAAGCACCCAGAAATCAGGGAGGAGCTCACAGAAATAGGACAGGGGCTCTCAGGGGATTGGGTGGCGCACCAAAAATTCTGCTATAGAAATTTCCCAATGTTAAAGATGGGAGAGAACTAACCTTTTCTCAGTACTTCCCATATACACAATCACTCTGCAAGTGGACATCACTTTCCTTATATTATTTTTTATTTTTTATTATCTTTATTAAGGTATAATTTACATAGAAAAAACTGTACTCACTCTAATTACATTTTGATGAGTTTTGACAAACTAGCACAATTGTGTGACTATCACAATCAAAATATGAAGCCATCACTCCAAAAACTTCTTTTGTGCTCTTTCCTATTCCATCTTGCTTCTGCTTCATTCCCTCACCCCAGATAACCACTTATCTGCTTTCTTAAACTCCTGGCCTCAAGCCATCCTCCCACCTCACCCTGGCAAAGTGCTGGGATTACAGGTGTGAGCCACCAAGAGCTAAGTGTCTGCTTTCTGTCACCTTAGATGAGATTATTTTGGGGGAGGGGGGTGGTAATGTAATTAACATAACATAGTATGCGCCCTTTTGTGTTTGCCTTTTTTAATAGTGTGTTTGTGAGGTTTATTCATGTTGTATGTACGAGTAGTTTGTTTAGCTCAACAACAAATGGTTTTTAGTATAAGTTTGTCCCATGTAATATTTGGAACATACATATACTGACACATTATTTGTTGTTTATCTGAAAGTCAGATTTAACTGGATGCCCTGTATTTTACCTAGCAATCCTGATTAAAAGCAATATGCATTCAGAATATACAAAGAACTCTACATAACCCTTAATGCAACTAGAATAAACATCCCAATAGAAATTGGACAGAGGATATGAAACAAGCAAATGATACGTTTATACACTGCTGGTAGAGATGAAAAGTAATGAAATTACTTTGGAAGACAGTTTGCCAGTTTCTTAAAAAGTTAAACTTATACTAACCCCATGATGGTAATTTCACTCCTAAGAATTTCCTCAAGAGAAATGAAAATATATGTACTCACTAATACTGATAGACAAATGTTTACAGCACCTTTACTCATAAATGTCAAAAACTAAGAACAATCTAAATGTCCATCAACAGGGGAATGAATAACCAGTCATGGTATATTGATTGATACGATTTAATGCCATTTTTCTTATATTATTGTAGTAGAGTAAAACTAGTATTAATATCGTCTTAACTAGTGGTTCCAGAAATTCTGAAATGGAAGAAATATTCCTAAGTAAGGTGATATGTTAAGGGCTTGAGTGTCCAAAAAGCAAAAAGAGGTTATCTAAGTCACTCTGCATGCAAAGTTAGCCAACTGTGCTTACTTATTCATGGAAAAGAGAAGAGAAGTAAGGGGAGATTGGGGAGGGAAGTCAGGAAAGTGGTCATGAGCTGGGCACAACAGAGGATGACATTGTCAATGAGAAGTCTCCGGTGATGGGATGACCCACAGGACTTGAGAAAGTGAAATGTCAGACCTGCTAATGATCAGACAGTGAGGTACCTTTCTCTGTGACACAGACAAAGCCAGGGACAAAGCCAACTGTAAATAATGTTTCCCCCAAGGTCAACTGCAGCTCAAGATGACTAACAACTCCTTTTGAGTGATTGATACCTTGTTACAAGTGATTTTCCTCAGCCCTCTTTATTCCTGTCACTCCTGAACAAAGAGATACTCAGTTACTAAACTGTTCCCGCATCTTGGCAGCCCCAGAGCCATTCCCTGCTTCTTTTCATCCCTCCTTACAGTCATTCAAGCACAAGCCCAAACCCTATGAGAAGCAATGGTCCACTCTGCCCCTAACTAGGTTCCCCACAGTTTCTCTGGTGTGTGGACTCTCTTGTTGCAACAAGTTAATAAACCTAACTTTGTTTGGCTTCAGGTGCATTTCTGATGGTGTATCTGATGTGCTTTACTAGACTTTTTATAACAGAGCTGTCTAATATGTGGTTTTACGTGTCATGCAGTACAGTAAGTAACCCCTTTCCTGTGATGCTTCCTCCCTCTTAGTAATTCCTTAAAGCTTTGTGTGAGAGGGGTTCTTAGGGACTGAGTTTCACCCCAGGATCAACACAATATGCTATACAACAACACAGAGTAAGGATCCCAGAGGTCGTGATAACAGGGAATTGAAACTTCCCGGGATACCCACAGCCCTACAGCATGTGCTTCCGATTTCCATGGAGCATGTGATTGTGAAGTGGTGGTGCCAGACCAGTCTTATGTGAGGATATCCTGCTGCTCATCTCCCCAAATTCACTATCTTCATCCTTCTTTTAGCAGCCTCCCTGAGTTTCACTGGACCCGTGGCCAACCAGCTAGAGGCTACACAAGTCTCCCATGAACCTAAATGTGGCCCTATGCTTCTGTCTGGAAGATGGAAGCACAAGAAATTTGCTCAAGTTTCAGGTCCTTAAGGTGGAAGCTTGTTGCCCTTATTACCTCTTCTTTCTTCTGCCCCACGGGCTGCAACTTGCACCTGGTGTTGGTAAGTCAGCTTTGACTGAGTGGACAAAAGCAGCAACCTGGAGATGATGGAGGATCAATATGGAAGAAGTCTGGGCTCCCCCACGTCCTGGCGAAGCATCTGCACCTACCCACCCCTTGCTAGACACCTCCCTGGGTGCATTTTGTGTGTATGAGAGAGAGAAATAAACATTAATCTTTTCATGAATCCCTGACTTTGGGAGTCTCTTTGTTGGAGCAATGTATACTCTAATTGTTAAACAAATATAGATCTCAAAGGATTTGGAGACTTCAGCTCATAACCAGGCTTCATTACAGGCCTAAAGAAGTCAGGTAATTCGTGCAAAATTATGTGGCTCATGGGAGTGAAATCCCAGGCCTGCTGGGTCCAATTCCTGCACTCTTCACACTCCTTCTGCTCTGTCCCAGATCAGCACGTCTGCCCCCAGCCTGTGTCGGAGCAGTGTCCGGGAGTCATGACCTCCCTCAGCTCTCTCCCTCTCTCTTAAGCATGGTTGGACTCCTGCCCGCCCCTCCATCCTCCAACCAAAGTGTCAGCTCCGACATTCAGACATTTCTGTGATGTTTCCAGGCGGACACCTCAGCCCAGACTGCACTCTGGGACAGCAGTTCCTCAAGGATCACCTTGGCTTCTCCAGAAATGAAAGGGCAGGTTCCACTGAGATAGTCTCCCTTAAAAAAGTCACCCTTAAAAAGAAGCAGAAAATAGCACAAACTTTCAAATTGTAAACCTAGTTGTAAAAAAATAAAAAAGAAGCTCCCGAGCCCCCTCGATGGAACTCCGTGCCTCTGTTAATGTTTGTGAACGAGGCTTTGTCTCTGGGGGCAGGACGATTGAAGAAATGCCACGACAGAAGTCAAGTGGAAAATATAGGCTTTAATGGCCCAACAATAATCCCCTTTTCTGGCATTTGGAGCTGGACACTGACAAAGTGCTCTCTCTCTCTCCCTAGCTAATGGACAGAGAGCCACACTTGTCCCCTCCCAACCCACCTCCACTGCTGCAAAGAACTAAATCTCTGGTGGCTGGATCTGATTGTTTCCTTCTGGAGAATGCTACAGAATGTCAGACCAAGTGGTCATTTCTATCACTGTTTTTGTTTATTTGTTTGTTTTAAGTTGTGCAGTCTCTATGTTCCATGATCATCTCCCCCAGGATAGCGGAGTGTTATATGGGGTTATTATGAAAAACTTCTCTTTGAATGGTTAGATTTGGATCCAGTTTATAAGAAGTGAACTCCCTCAAGAAGCAAGGTGCTATGCTGTGCAAACCCACCTTTGGCATTTCATCCTCATATCACCCTATGGGATGGCCTGGCAGGGTGCACAGAACTTGGGCTTGCATCTCAGAACACTCAGCTTTGAGCCCAAGCTCCTGCTAACTAATTCTGTAACCATAGATAAGGCAGTCAACCTTCTTAGCCTCAGCTTACATGTCAATAAAGTGGGTCTGACCCAAGATCATTTAGAGAATCAGAAGAGACACTAGTAATAGCAGACATTTACAGAGTGCTGCCTGTTTGCCAGGCACCATCCTGTTATTTAGAGGAAATCCTTCCTTCCTTCCTTCCTTGTAATAAATAACCAAGGAAGAAAGAAAAGAGAGAGAGAAAGAGTATCAGCTTTTCAATAAGGACGCAGGGAGGATCAGATCTGCCTGTGATCTGGGTCTGTAGTACATGTGTGCATGTGTGTGCATGTGTGTGTGTGTGTGCATGTGTGTGTGTGTGTGTGTGTGTGTGTGTGGTTTGAGGCCAGAGGAGGTGGGTGGAGTTTATGCTTGTGTCTCATTAGATTTCCAAGCACCTGCATAAAATTTATTCATTTCCCAGGAAGGATGGGTTTACTTATTTGCCTCCCAGACCAGACCACTAGCTCTCTGAAGGCAGAGGCTCTGTTTATTTATGTTTGCTATATTTACTCTCCCAGAGATATTTGCATTTAAAGGAAAGGAAGCCCTCAAAGACACACTAATTTCAAGAACAACTTCTAATAATGTCAATGTTTTTGCTTCTTAACATATACCTAAGGCTTGATCTATCCTGTAGACAATTTGCTAAAGTGTAACTATAAGATTGAGTGCTTGGAGCCATGCAAAGCAGGTCACTAGTGAGGCAAAAGAGCCATGAGTGAAGGATGAGGTAGGAATTTTAAGAATTAGAGACTTCAGACTTACACATGGGCATACTGACTGCTTGAAAAATGCTTAAACAGAATGCACATTCTGCTTCATAAGGTCAGCCCAAACCACCTTGAATGCAGCTTCTGCTCCCATCAGAGGGAAAATTGATGTGTGAGAGAGAATATACATCACCTGCCAGTGCTCAGTCCTGCTCATCCAGCCACCACCTTTGAGAAAACCCATGAACAGCTCTTCCCTGCGCTGCAAGCCCAACTCTTTGCTGTGGCCAGCACAGACCCGCTTTCTTCTGCAGCCTTATTTTATGCTAATTCTTCACTGTGCCAGGCTGCTGAACTTCTGTTATTTCTCCAGACCCCGTGCTGGAGAGGACACACGTGGCCCTCTGAGCACAGTTACGCTTCTCCCCAGCCTTCACTTGGCCACTCCTACTTACCTGCAAAATCCAAGTTGTTCAAAGGTCAACTGTGTATGCACTGCATACAATAGCAACACTTCTTTCTTTGTTGACTGGAACCCTGAGCAGAATGGAAGTTCCTTGTGCGTGGGGCTCTCTTGATCATATTTATCCTCCTATCCTAGAGTGCCTGGCCTGGAATGGGTCCTCAATAATATTGACTGAATGGTGAACGAATGACTAAAGGGATAAATTACTAGACGTTTTGCTGGAAGGTGCCCAGACTCCTCCACTTCTTTCTGACTCTTTTTCACTGTGATTTCCTGTCTGTGCAACTTCAGACTCTTGCTCCTGTGCACATAACTTCATTCCATGGCTCCTGTAAAAGTTGGAATGGTCCAACCCCTTTTCCTTCCTATCTATCCCACTTTCTTGGTGACTTTTTCCATCTTATTATTTTAAATATGATTTATGTGTTAATGACTCCAAGCTTGCATCCAGTCCAGAATGCTCCCCTCAACTCCAGACTCATGCTTAACTGCCTGTGTCAGATTTCCACAAAGGCACATCTCCCACCTGACGTGTATGAAACTGAACTGCTGAAATTCTCCCCACAGTCTCTCCCATGCCATAAAACACAGTTCTATGCCTCTAGGTCCACAGGCCAAAATCCCTTAAATTATTATTAACTCTTCTCTCTCAAACCCCATATTTGATCTATCAGCAAATCCTATTGGCTTTATATCGAAGTGTGTCTACAAATTGACCTCTTCCTGCCACCTCCACTGCTACTCTCCTCGTCCCAGACATGGACATCTCTCACCCGGATCACTGCAGTTATGCCTACCTAGCCTCCCTGCAGAGCAACCTGAGGGATACTGATAAAATTTAAGTCAAATCGTGTCACTTCTGTGTTCCTCACCCTGCATTCAGAGTGGGAGCCACATCTTCATAAAGACCCCATGTCCCTGCATGACTCAGCCCTGCACACTACCTCATCACCTTCCTGACTTCACTCCCTACTCCCCCTTGTTCATCTGGCTCCAGCCACATGACCTTCCCACTGTGCTTCAACATGCCCAGCACATCCCTGCCTCAGGGCCTTTGCACTTGCTGTTGCCTCTACCCAGGATGCTCTTTTATCAGATATCCACTTTGTTCAGGTCATTATTCCAATCTTACCTTCTCACTGAAGCCGTCTAGTATGACCTCCTCCCTTACTTTCTGTTACTCCTCCCTGGTTCTGTTTATATCCATTTTTGTAATAGTTTTACTGATTCATCACCTAATTATCTGTCCCCAGCACCCATCTTGCCAATCTAAAGCCCCTTGAAGACAGATACTATATCTCTGTCCTTCGATCCGTGGTGTGTCCCAGTGCTGGAATAGCGCTTCACACACCATAGCGCTGAACACGTTGCTCTATGGGAACACGTCTGAGCCTCCTGCCCCACTCATGTCATGGTGGGAGTAAGAGCACATGCTCTCCAATCAGACAAAGGTAGGTTCAGACATTAACTCTCCAAGAGTTAATGACCTTGAGCCAAGGATTTAATCTCTGCCATGGAAACTCTGATTTATAAAGCTGTAATTACTGTTCATATCTTATCAGAGCTTCTGAAGACCAAGACACAAAACATGGAGACAAGATGTTCCCCCCATATCACTATGTGCGTCCCATGTGAACTATGGTGTAGGTGCTGCCGGAGGATCCAGGATAATTTTTAAAGTCTCAAATATTGACAGGCCTGGTTACTTAGTCTCATCTCTGAAATTAGCTGTTAAGTGTGAAAGAAGCTAGCTTGCTGGTTTTGCAGCATGAGGTATGAAATGTTACCTTATTATGTCAATCAATACATAGTTTTAGAAGACACATTAACAACATTTAAATAGAAATTTGGGGTAATTAATGGATAAGTGAGAGATAGCAGATGGAAAAAAGTTTCCATTTCCATTTCCTTAAGGTGTTTTGAGTTTCCTTTTCCAAAAATCCTTTCTCATAAATAGTCCTCCTTAATGTTTAACATTTAGAGTTTCTTCTTGACCCTCCCATGCATTTATTTTTATTTAATGTATAAATTCAATAAATTATAGGTAATTAAAAATATAGCATTAAGGGAGCATCACTGACCTCTCATTTGCTTATTTACCCCCTTTCTTCATTGAACAAATGTCTATTGAACACCTAATACACACAAGACTCTGCTGGGCTCTTAGGGTAATGCAGAAGTGAATAAAACATTCTACTTTCATAAAACTTACAATTTAAAAAGGGACAGAGATTAAGATCTGCACACAAACTTCAGCAATCTAATATTAAAATTGATCCAGAGAGATACAAAGGTACCAAATGACAGTTGAGGAAAGGGGAGCGACTGCTTCCATGTGAGCCATCCAGTCACACTTAATCTTAGCCCCTTCTGTGCCAGCACCATGTTCAGTTCGATGGAACAAGATGGAAAAACCAGAAGTTAACAAATGGAAGACCTCAGGCTGCTACTCCTGTCCTGGCTATTCTCTCTGCTCTTGCTCAGGTCAACCCACCTCTGACCCGACACATCCAGAGCCTTTTCCACTTCTCCTCTGTGTGGCCGCTCTGACATGGGGCTGTCTTTCCTC